TATAGCGTAAGTTCAAAACACATTCTATATGCTTCTCCTCAGCTACATTTCTCTATAATGGCAAATCATGCACAACTGTGACCCTGAAGCGCCATAAATCATTGAAAATAAAATTTCATTTCATATATTCTGTTTGTTAAAGCAGGAAAGTACATCAATATATTTAAGAAAAATTTCTCCAAAATGTATAAAATAAGTCTGATTGATAATAAAAAAATTAAACCACTTAATCTATTTGTACATTCAAACCTTTGCCACTAAATTAGCCTTTCTTTTTTCTAGGTGGAAGGAAGTTTGATACAGTGTACTGATTGCTATAGACTAGAATATTGAATTGTTACAACTATATGAGATCTACATATATTTCTACTTCCATGGATATATGTGTATGTATTGTAAAAATCACATATGTATAGTATGATGTTTAAAAACTCCAATTGTGGCAGTTTAAAGACTACTTCGTTGCTAATCATGGCTTAATACTAAAACAGAACAGAGTCCTTTACAAGGTAACCAGGGGAATATGCCAATTTTCACTTCATTGCCATCCTGTTGAATGACTGTATTCATTCTCTTTAGATTTAAAGCCCTTCATTCTACTGTTCCTCAACACTCTTTATAGAATTCCAGCTTGCTTTTCACCTATCTTTTAACAGTTTAACATAGATGGCTGGATCAAGTCCATTGTTCAATTGTGTGAAGCTTAAAAAGCTCTGCAGTATTTTACTCCTTCCATTGTATCTGGCTTCCCTGAGTGCTCTGCTTGCTGCATTTTACTCGTACTCTGATTTCTAAACCCATTTATGCCTATTCTTTCTGAAGACACTTGTTTGTCTGGGAGCTCAAATTGACTTATCCCCATTCTATTTCCTTAACTCGAAATGCATCGTTAAGGTTGACTGAACTCTTTTAAAGCACTTCATATAAAAATGAAAGGCCACAGGAAAGTAGGCTACCAGTGTTTGTAAATACCTGTTTTAAACCAAATTGATAGAGGAATAAGAAATTAATTAGAAACTTAAAAATGTTATTGATATATCTATATATTTTACTGATTAGTCTTTTTTGGTTGTTGAGAGACAAACTCGTAAAACATTCTGAGAGGGAAGAGAGAGGAAGGGCTGTGTTATAATTAAAGATGGAACAAATAGTAGAGGCAAACCACTAAAATTATTGAAAATATTTTCTAGAAAAAATAATGTTCTACAATAAGCAAGAAGAAAAACATGCAGCTCTTGATTAAAATCTATAGCTTTTAAATCACTTCAACCCCACTGGAAACAAACAAAAATTGTATCACCGTATCTTTTTTTCTATTTAAAGTATAGTTATTGTTATTTTTGTGGTTTACAAAAATAGTATGATCATCATTTTTTTTTACGATTTATAATGTTTATGATTGCTGGTCTAAAATATCTGCAAACATTTAAAAGTTAATTACAATTATAAAATTAAAAAACAAATGAAAATGTAAAATGCTATTTGTTAAAAATTCCTCATATTCTTTCTATTTTAATGTTTGATCAAAATGTAACTTTTTATTTTGGAAAAAACAAACTATTTTATCTCAATAGATTTTTATTCGGAGCATATAGAAATACTGTTATTTTTAATGTTATTAGAAAAAGTCTGTTCTAACTTAAAATTTAGCATTTAAGAATCATTAGAATCTTATATGGAAAATGACAATGTTAATAAACTGGCTTTTTGATTTACCTAAAAAAGCATATAGTTAAGGTAGTGCTTAATAAAATACAAGAGAAAAATAATTTGACTTCAGGCAACTAATACTTTCAAAGCTACTTCTAAGTTCCTTTGAATATGCTATTCTACTTTTAGATTACAACATTGTATGTCTTTGCTATTAAATCATTCATTTTATCTTAATATTAAGGAAAAATCATTACCAAAACAAAAATCTTAAGATAAAAAATGCATAAATTAAGTCTGAGAAATGTCTTTTGAGTAGTTTACAAAACAATTTTATTTACAATGGAAAGAAAAATAGTAATATTAGAATGGTATAATTAAGATTTTTGTAAAATGAAAACTTACAGAAATAATATTACTAATAAAATAGCTGGGGCATTTCTTGCTGATGTAGTTCTAAAAGACAACTGAGAATTTAATTTGCAATTTAGCATAGGTGTTTCTTTAAAAATATTTCAATAATGGAAAAGGGACAAAAATGTATAAAAATGAACAAGTAGTTAGCACTTGCAGGTGGTCCAGAAGCTCTGAGTTTTAAGGCAAGGCATCAGAAAAACCAGCCAGTTTCTAGCCCATAACCAAACTGATTTGGTTAGCTTCACTGAATACCAAAAGAAATTGGCCATAAGTGCTTGCTTCTACTAATATAATATTATAAAAAACTTACCTCCCTTTATGTAAGTAATATTTAATTGAAGCCAGAAGCTTAGAGCGTGACTCAGAGTAAGATCTAATGTTTTAAAATATTAACTTTTCATAATTTATGATAGCTTATGAAGAGTGAAATGGAACGTTACTTAAATATAAGGGTTATTTGTAAACTAGTCAGGAGCGTCTGCAGACACACATACATAGTGCACACTAAATATTCTAGGCAAAAATAGATTCACAATCAGTTAATTTTGTATCAATAGTCAAAAAAACTAAGACTAGAAAAACAGAAGTAAATGGCCAGACATGGTAGCTCATGACTGTAATCCCAGCACTTTGCGGGAGCAGAGACAGGAGGATTGCTTGAAGCCAGGTGTTTGAGACCAGCCTGGGCAACATAGTGAGACCCCATCTGTACCAAAATTTTTTTTAAAAATAGAAGTAAATAATAAAGTTCTTATTGAACAATTAATCATAATCTTCATATATAGAAATCAGATTAATTTCATACTATCTACATTCAGTTCAGCTTTGAAGCCTTCTGCTCTATAAAGTGCCTTAATTTCTAGCTTACCAGGTTGTTTGTGGAATTGTCTTTAATGAAAACAAGTTATATAATCATACACTTGACTACTTACAAAATAAATCAAGACATTTGCTAGGAGAAGAGACATAGTAACTTTATGGGAGAAATTATACATCTTAGCGAAATACCTTGATGAATAAATAGTTTAGTCTTTTACAGGTTTTTTTTTTTTTTTTTTTTTTTTGGAGACAAAGTCTCACTCTGTCACCCAGAAGTGCAGTGGTACCATCTCAGCTCACTGCAACCTCTGCCTCCCTGGTTCAAGTGATTCTCTTGCCTTAGCCTCTCGAGTAACTGGGATTACAGGTATGTGCCACCATTCCCAGCTAAGTTTTGTATTTTTAGTAGAGATGGGTTTCTCCATGTTGGCCAGGCTGGTCTTGAACCCCTGACCTCAGGTGATACACTCGACTTGGTCTCCCAAAGTGCTGGGATTACAGGTGTGAGCCACCGCACCTGACGTGGTGGTGTAATCCCAGCTACTCAGAAATTCAGATGAAATTTAATTAACGATTTATAAGAATTATAAATAGCTCAAAATTTAACAATGTGTACATAAAAATCAAATGAAGATCTCAAATATATTAAAAGTCCAGAGGAAAAGTGGCTAAAAGAAAATATGCCAAAATGCTAAGTGGATAACAATGTAAGTTATGTTTTTTCTGCTTTATATATTTCTATTCTGAACATTTTTCTCCAGTGAAACCTATTACATTTATTTTTGCTACTTATTTTGTTATTTTAAGACACTTTTTATTATAAAAGTAACATATTCAGCATTTAATTTGTACAAAATCATAAAAGAAAATAAACATGATGCCAATTTAGTAATAAATAGTGTAGAGTAGACTGTCACAACACTGTAATTGAAAGCAGTTGTCAAAGCGAAAGGGCAAAAAAGACATCTTCTGGACATCTTAAGAACTGCATAGTTGTTTTTAAACAAAGGATTCTATTACCTGGTAAGTGTAATAGTTGTTTACAAACCACAGGTTATGAAGAGCAAAATCAATCTATAATTAGGTTTGAAACTTTAAATGTCACATGATTAAATACAGACATACAGCATTTAAAAAAGAAAAATACAAAATTGTTGCATATACATTGGAATTATATCATTTCCAAAATACCTTTAAAACTATATCCAGACAGATTATAAAGTATATATATTTTGGTTAAAATAATTTATTTTTGTGTAAGGAAAGTATAAAATATTATGAAACTACATTTACTATTGAACCAATAACTTTAAAATTTTAAATAGAATACTTCATCAATCATGGAGCTCTTTTATATCAAAATATGACTGGCAATTTAGTTATCAATTTAAATAACAAGCAACTTCAAAACCACATTTGATGGATTTGTGACATGTCCTAGTACTATACAATGTAATAGTTTAGAAACATCTTTTCAGTGAAATATAATTATTTAAGGTTATATTTTTAAGTGTGTCCACTCAGTTTGAACATGTGTTCTCTTCAGCCTGAAACTACTTGTAAAATTATATCACTGTAGGTGTAATTAATTATTTGCATATTAAATTGGACTCTTTTTATTCTTAGAGTATGAAAGACTGGCTGCACCCACAGTTAACCACATTCAGTAACTACTACTGATGCCCACAATATGCATCTCTAGGCAATTTTGAGGGCAGATCTGATTTGAGGGTATTTTTATTTTAAATACAATCCTAAAAACCAATCTGTAGTTCAACTAGCAAAACTCATCTTGCTTTAGTAATAGTTATGTTGGGGAAGAATTGTGCTTTAGTTTTATGTAATCCCAAATGAATAGATATTCTACAAGTGAAAATATGCTTATTTCCTAAAGTTATCTTAATATCATCCTATGACATGCCATAATGACTAAATTTATTCACATAAATGTTTCTACTGAATTTATACTAAATGTTTCTAATACCAGAACTAAGCATTCAATTCTCTGGACTTTGTTTCATGTCACTTTTATCTTTTCAAATTGTTGTCTGATATAATAGTTCATGATTTTTATAATATAGAAATTCAAACAAATAACTAAAGATAACTATAAAGAAAGTTTAAGAGAGGTGATATTAAATCAGGTTCACAAGGGTGATTATTTTCATATGGAACTGAACTGTTTCAGTAACTTAAGTAACATGATTATCTTTTTTGTTGTTGTTGTTTTCTATTCACCACTGTCTGCTAGTTTTCTCACAACTACTAAACAGAGGTAAGTTTCTTGGTGTATGCTCATTTCTGTATAGGCAGTTACATTCGATTTGATCTTAGAAAGTTGCTCCCAGAAATTCTGTAAGAAATAAGATTTAGTAAGTCAAATAGTGGTGACTTCATTTTGTAATGGATCAGCTAACTTAAGGTAATTCTGCAATAAATAATTTCTGTATTTTAGATGTATGCAATTTCAAAGGGACAAAATGATACTATTTGTGGCTATTTAAAAATCCTTTGAACTCAGTGGGACATGGCTGATCATAGCAGGAGGAGTCAGTGCAGCAAGAGCCAAGCCTAAACTAGATCTGCTGCTGGGGTAGGTCATTTCAACAGATGAGTGGGAGCATGGATGCAAGGAAGATGGGGACAGGTAATACCTGAGAATTGAAGGAAACAAGTATTGAGAAGCAGAGTGTATTCTTAATGAGAACTAGCAAGGTTCTTAGGCTTTGAGCTGGGCTCTAAGGCTACATTCAGACTGGAGAAGGAGGCAAATAGGAATTTTTACAAAATTCTTAGCCTTTACAATTTCAGAGTTTAATTTATCTGCTGTTTAAAGTGTAAGTGAACTGCTTTGCAAATTGAGTGAGTAGAGTGTGCTGAGAGGGGATACAATTAAAGTAGTTCCCATGTAACTGTTTCCTTGTTGCCTCACTAGTGAGCACTAGTACTCTCAATTATTTGACCTTGATAGCCATTTCTAAGCCTTTTTGAATTATTATGTAAATAGACTGGACTTTGGGAAAGGTTTGGTGAATGTGGGAATTAAGAAGCCTTATGCTATCTGATAGTTTTTTCTAGTTCCCAGAGTAAATATATATTAGTATATAGCAATATTTTCTGTTTTTATACATGACTAGCAAATATGAAGAGTTTTTTTTTAATGATGAGAAATGATATTAAAACACACAGAAAAAATAGCTTTACCTTTTTTCATCTTGGTTGCTCTGGTATATTTGTGCAGTTGGAGACACAATATTCTGGTGTGATAAAAGAGATGTAGAGATACTTATCCCTCTCGATGGCTGAAAAGCTATTTCTGCATGGATGCTCCGAGGATTGTTTGTCAGAATCCCAGCATTCCTGTTTTTTCTGTCTGAAACTAGAAATTTGAAATATTAAAATTATGAAACAATGAGAAACATTAAGTAACATAAGCATTAAGCAATATAGTTTGTCCTTCAGCTGAATGTATGTTATGCATATTTCATGAAGTGAATTTAAAATTTCAACTAAGAATATAGAATTAGAATGTATTTTTAGCACTTAATGTGGCTTACATTTCTGTGAGTTAGTGAATCAATTTGATTTTTTCTAGACAATATTTTAAACATAAATATCCAGACCTGCATGCCGGATATTTATGTTTAAAATATTATCTGTACAGATAAAAAGTGACCATACTTTTAAAAATAAAAACTGGGGGGAGTAGAGGGAGAAGATGGCACTGTAGGAGCAACTCAGGATTGCAGCACCCAGTGAAAGTACAGAGGGTGAGTGGACCCTGCATTTCCAAATGAATCTTTATTGCCCACAGACCAGGAGATTCCCAGGTGTAGGAGCCCCACAGGCCACCAGCACGACTGTTTTGGCTGGTGTGGTTGTTTGGGCTGGTGCGGCAATTTTGCCCGGCACGGCAATTTCACCTGGCACGGCAATTTCGCCTGGCACGGCTGTTTCGGCCAGCGCTGCAGTGCAGCGGCACTCCATACAAAATACACTGGTCTGGTTGCCCCATTAAACCAGCAATTTGAGATTTGGGAAGGCAGATTACCACGTTCATCTGATTAAGTGGGACTTAGCCAGGCCAGGAGATTCCCGGGCAGTGACGCTCTTTCAGCTGCCGCAGTGGGTTGCTGCACAGGAAATCACACAGATCCCAGTACCCTTTCAGCAGGCGACTGGAACACCTGGGAGAGAGTCAACCGTTCAACTTAAAAAAAAAAAGGGCTCTCAGGCACGGAGCCAGGTGATCAGGCTCGGCAGGTCCCACCTGCACAAAAACAAACAAAACAGCAATTGGAAATGCTTGGGGTTGAGAGTTTCACAGCAAGCACAGCTGAACCCAGGATGGTGCAGCTCGGTGGGGGAGAGGTGTCCGCCATTACCGAGGCACTCCACCCCTATGGAGGTACTCCGCCATTGCTAACACTGCCTGCCATTGCCAAGGCAACCCGCCATTGCTGAGGCAACCCGCCATAACAGAGAGAGTCTGCCATTACACAGGTGGGCCACCATCGCCACAGCCATTCTAACCACACCCATATAAACAGGACTACAGGGAATTACACATGGCAGCACGGTGGAGCCCATGGCAGCATGGCAGAGCCCACGACAGCAGGGCAGAGCCCACGGCAGCAGGGCAAAGTCCAGAGCAACAGGGAGGAGCCCATGGCAGCAGGGCGCAGCCCAGAGCAGCTCAGCATAGCCTCTGCAGGCAGGCAGTGACTAGACTGCCTCCTTGCTGGGCAGGACAGTGCAACGGATACTCATAAAGCCCTAACTCCCCAGACAGAGCACCTGAGAATAAAAGGGGCTTTATGAGTTCTGCTGTAGCAGACTTAGACATACCTGCCTAGCAGCCCTGAATGATTAACGGAGCTCACAGCTCAGCACTTGAGCTCCTATAAAGTACAGACTGTCTCCTCAAGCAGCTCCCTGACCCCTGTATATCCAAAGAGTCACCTCACAAAGGACTGATCAGACTGACATTTGGTGGGCATCATTCTGGGACAAAGATAGCAGAAGAAGAAACTGGTAGCAACCCTCACTGTTCCGCAGCTGCTACAGGTGTTCCCCAGGCAAGCAGGGCCTGGAGTGGACCTCAGCAGTCCTACAGCAGAGGGGCTAGACTGTTAGAAGGAAAACCAAGAAACAGAAATACTTCATCATCAACAGTCTGGAAGTCCACTCAGAGACCCAATCGGAAAGTCAGCAATTACTCAGACAACAGGTGGATAAACCCACAAAGATGGGAAGAAACCAGCGCAAAAAGGAGGATAACGCCCGAAACCAGAACACCTCGCCTCCTACAAGGGACCACAACCCCTCACCAGCAAGGGAACAAAGCTGGACAGAGAATGAGTGTGATGAAATGACAGAATCAGACTTCAGAAGGTGGGTAATGAGAAACTTCCATGAGCTAAAAGAACACGTTCTAACTCAATGCAAAGAAACTAAGAACCTTGAAAAAAGATTTGAGAAAATGATAACAAGAATGGACAACTTAGAGAGGAATATGAGTGAATTGATGGGGCTGAAAAACACAATACGAGAACTTTGCGAAGCATGCACAAGTCTCAACAGCCAAATTGACCAAGCAGAAGAAAGGATATCAGAGGTCGAAGATCAACTCAATGAAATATAATGAGAAGGCAAGATTAGAGAAAAAGGATAAAAAGGATAGAACAAAGTCTCCAAGAAATGTGGGACTATGTGAAGAGACCTAATCTACGTTTGATAAGTGTGCCTGAATGTGACAAAGAGAATGAATCCAAGCTGGAAAATACTCTTCAGGATATTATACAGGAAAATTTCCCCAACCTAGCAAGGCAGGCCAATATTCAAGTCCAGGAAGTATGGAGAACACCACAAAGATATTCCTCAAGAAGAGCAAACCCAAGGCACATAATTATCAGATTCACCAGGGTTGAAATGAAGGAGAAAATGCTAAGGGCAGCAGGAGAGAAAGGTCGGGTCACCCACAAAGGGAAGCTCATCAGACTCACAGCAGATCTCTCAGCAGAAACCCTACAAGCCAGAAGAGAGTGGGGGGCCAATATTCAACATCCTTAAAGAAAAGAACATTCAACCCAGAATTTCATATCCAGCCAAACTGAGCTTCATAAGTGAAGGAAAAATAAAATCCTTTGCAAACAAGCAAGTACTCAGAGATTTTGTCACCACCAGGCCTGCTTTACAAGAGCTCCTGAAAGAGGCACTACACATAGAAAGGAACAACCAGTACCAGCCATTCTAAAAACATACCAAATGCTAAAGAGCATCAACAAAATGAAGAATCTGCATCAACTAACGGGCAAAACAGCCAGCTAGCATCAAAATGGCAGTATCAAATTCACACATCACAATATTAACCCTAAATGTAAATGGGCTAAATGCACCCATCAAAAGACACAGACTGGCAAATTGGATAAAAACCAAAACCCAGCAGTGTGCTGTATCCAGGAAACCCATCTCACATTCAAGGATACACAAAGGCTCAAAATAAAGTGATGGAGGAAGATTTACCAAGCAAATGGAGAGCAAAAAAGAACAGGAGTTGCAATTCTCATCTCAGATAAAATAGACTTTAAAGCAACAAAGATCAAAAGAGACAAAGAAGGTCATTACATAATGGTAAAAGGATCGATACAACAACAAGAGCTAATGATCCTAAATATATATGGACCTAATACAGGAGCACCTGGCTATATAAGGCAAGTTCTTAATGACTTACAAAGAGACTTAGACTCCCACACAATAATAGTGGGAGACTTTAACACTCCACTGTCAATATTAGACAGATCAACCAGACAGAAAATTAACAAGGATATCCAGGACTTGAACTCAGACCTGGAACAAGCAAACGTGATAGACATTTACAGAACTCTCCACCCCATATCCACAGAATATACATTCTTCTCAGCACCACATCACACGTCTAAAATTGACCACATAATTGGAAGTAAAGCACTCCTCAGCAAGTGCAAAACAACTGACATAATAACAAACAGTCTCTCAGACCATAGTGCAATCAAGTTAGAACTCAGAATTCAGAAACGGACTCAGAACCACACAGCTTTATGGAAACTGAACAACTGGCTCTTGGGTGTGGACTGGATAAACAATGAAATGAAGGCAGAAATAAAGAAGTTCTTTGAAACCAATGAGAACGAAGACATGACATACCAGAATCTCTGGGACACATTTAAAGCAGTGTCTAGAGGAAAATATGCAGCTATAAGTGCCCACATGAGAAGAGTGGAGACATCCAAAATTGACACCCTATCATCAAAATTGAAAGAGCTAGAGGAGCAAGATCAAAAAAACTCAAAACCTAGCAAAGACAAGAAATAACTAAGATCAGAGCAGAATTGAAGGAGATAGAGACACCAAAAACCCTTCAAAAAATCAATAAATCCAAGAGCTGGTTTTTTGAAAAGATCAACAAAATAGACCACTAGCCAGACTGATAAAAAAAGAAAAGAGAGAATAACCAAATAGATGCAATAAAAAACAATAAAGGGGAAATCACCACAAGATTCCACCAAAATTCAAACCATCATCAGAGAATATTACAAACAAGTCTATGCACATAAACTAGTAAACCTGGAAGAAATAGATAAATTCCTGGACACTTGTGTCCTCCCAAGCCTAAACCAGGAGGAAGCCGAAACTATGAATAGACCAATAACAAAGTCTGAAGTTGAGGCAGCAATTAAGAGCCTACCACACAAATAAAGCCCAGGTCCAGATGGATTCACAGCCGAATTCTACCAGACACACAAGAGGAACTGTTACCATTCCTTCTGAAACTATTCCAAATAATTCAAAAAGAGGGAATCCTTCCCAGATGTTTTTATGAGACCAACATCATCCTGATACCAAAACCCGGCAGAGACTCAACAGGAAAAGAAAACTTCAGGCCAATATCTATAATGAACATAGATGCAAAAATCTTCAATAAAATACTGGCAAGACGATTGCAACAGCACATCAAAAAGCTTATCCACCATGATCAAGTAAGATTCATCCCAGGGATGCAAGGCTGGTTCAGCATACGCAAGTCTATAGATGTAATTCACCACATAAACAGAACCAAAAACAAAAACCACATGATTATCTCAAATGACGCAGAAAAGGCCTTTGACAAAATTCAACAGCCCTTTATGCTAAAAGTCCTCAACAAACTCGGTATTGATGGAATGTATCTCAAAATAATAAAAGCTATTTATGACAAATCAACAGCCAATATCATACTGAATGGGCAAAAACTGGAAGCATTCCCTTTGAAATCTAGCACTAGACAAGGATGCCCTCTCTCACCACTCCTAATCAATATAGTACTGGAAGTTCTAGCCAGAGCAATCAGGCAAGAAAAAG